AAATATACAGTAACCTCTAAGGAGCGCACCCTTTTCTACAAATTCGTCAGGTAAACTTAAGTACTTTCAACTAATGAGTTGTAAATTATGACTCTAATTGGCATCCTCAGCCCAAATATGTATTCATTTCTGGCGTTCGCGCCACTTGCCGCCAAATTCGCTGGAGCCGATTTGACACCAAGACTTTTTCCGAAATTCCTTATAAACATGCACATAGGGGAAAGCAAGAGCGATGAATCCACAATACGGTACCGATTTGGCACCAGACTATTGTTTCCAGCGACTGGGCGCCGTCGCTTTTCCTTCCAAATCCGGCGAAATCCTGGGGTGATCGACGGTCCTGATTGCGAGTGAGGACATCCACTTGGTCACCAGCGCCAGAAATTTGATGAATAATTCTCTCTTTCATAACGGTGATGAACCCTTCGATCAGAACCCTCCCCCTTCCCCTATTCCCTCACCTAATGCACGCCTAAGACAAATTCAGTGAAAAAACAGGTGATGCATAACGACGCTAAATAACACCAAAATGAATGTAAGATCTGTGACAAACACCTAAGGCAGCGTTCAGACTTCGCGACGGCTTCTCGGTCGCACGTTCGGCGCGATCGATGCGCATGCTTTCGACTGCATCGATCGCGTCGAACGCGCGACCGAAGCGCTGCCGTCGCGAAGTCTGAATGCTGCCTAACACTTTTATAAGAAGGTTCAAGAAAAAAAAAATTGGGATTTCGGGGTTTTAATTATTCGAACGGAGCCGAAATGATGCAATCATCTGACAAAACGTTGTGGATTTATAGTCCAATTCCCTGCGGATGAAGTGGCGTGTCAAGCTGGAGCAATTTGGCGCGGAGCTGAACACGTTCCCCACCAGTTTTTGAAGCGAGCGAGAGAATAATCCCTTTCCTGACAATTACTGTCACATATCCGCTTCAACGACTGGCAAGGAACAGGTTTGGTGCCGTGGCACACTCATACTGCCTGCCACACCTTTCATCCGCCGCGAACTGGAGTATAAATAATCAGCAAACCAACCTCAGCGAGCAATAAGTTGCATTACAACGTGGACATTTGTACTGTTCTCTTCGCTCAGTTGAACAAAATTTACACCTGAGCATTTACCTGAAGACAGCATTAAACATCTAAATTTAATAAAGTACTGAAGTGAAAAGGAGAGGAATTTTAGGAAAGCGGTACCACTGATCACTTCATTGTACAAGCTTTAAAATCAAGAACTTCATGAACTCTATCACACAACATAAATCAACAAGAAATAAA